GGATCTTTAATGCCCACCTGAGCAGGTTTGCTGTCTCATCTGAACTGCAGCACATCAGACAATGCACCACATGCCCAGCAATGCATTGGAGACCAACCTTTTCAACCACGTCTTCGGTCACTTCCCCATTCTCCCCTCCCTTTCCCATGCTCGGTATCCAACCTTGCCTCTATGCAGTGCTCCGAGTGAAGGGCTCTATTTAAATGCAAGTTCCTGTTGTTTTAGATTATTATACATTAATGATCCTTGCATTTGATATAGCGCCTTATCATGTAGTTGAGACTTCTAGAGTGCTCACAGAATATATTATAAAGTGAATTGATTGTAGACAATTGCGCACAGCAGTGTCAACAAATAGTCGTGGCTTGAGTGACCAAATTATTATTGTTTGTGGGGGGGGGGGGATTGATTACCACCCTCAGAAAAGTGATACACCAATCGACTAACAACTGTATTCCTATTTATTGCTAGGCAAACAGAAGGGTGTGGAGTAAGGAAACTTGCCTCAGGTTTTCCCCTGCCTGGGAACTGACCCAAGTACTCTCGCTTGCAAGGCAAGTGCTCTAACCACTATGCTACAGGACTCCACTTGTTGGATTTGTTGTTGGGGAGTGACAGATTAGGTCATGCGAGTTGAAAGTCCTGATGTGAGCCTTAAGTCATTTGACCAAAGACAAGAGTACTCAGAAAATCAGGCCAACACCCTTTTGAGTAACGTTTAGCACTGAAATGTTGATAGCATTACAACAATGAATTGATGACTCTGCTTTCTTTGAATCAAAATCTGGTTTGATTCAATGCACCATTGTCTGGGAATGAGATCAGAGGCAGCTCCTACGTGTGTTTCAAAGAACTGGGGGTGACAAAATAAACGTTTCAGCGAAAATCTGGTTCAGCAACTTTGTCATCTGATTTCTGGTAAAAAAAAGGGAGTTGGGTACCACTCCCTCGAGGGTGACAAAAACCTTGTCCCACGTACTGAAGGAATACCTGACAGGTTCAGTTTGACAGTGTAATAGGCTCTTCACAACAACAACAAAATTACTTTTGTATAATGTCTTTCATATCGGAAGGACATGCCAAGGCGCAGGACAGACAGTTTAGTTTCACAGTTAAATGAAAGTCAAGAGTGAAACAAACAAAAAAAAATTCTAAGAGGGACTGTTGAAAACAGTCACCCCTGAGCAATACATTTGTACAAGTTCACTACTTCACAATGAATAAGGTTCGCACTCTGTCCAAGCACTTACTTAAAATGCAAAATTCACATTGCTCAAGCCTTCAAATTTTTTTTGCTTTGAAACGCCTCACGACATAATAAGGTGCTACGTTCTTCAGCATAATGGTTAGAGCGCTCGCCTCACAAGCGAAAGACATGGGTGTGATTCCCAAACAAGGCTAAATCTTAAGCAAGTTTCCTTAGTCCACATGCCTCTCTTTATCTACCAGTAAGTAGGAACCTGTTTTTTAGTCGATTGGACGATTGCTTTTCTGGGTAATAATCCCTTCAAGAAAAAGTGGTCGCTCAATCCACGACTGTTTGCGGGACACTGCTGTGCGCAATTGGCTGCCGCGTTTTGCCCACAAAATACACAGTCGATCCATTTTACAATATATTCTGTGAAGTGCATTGAGACGTCTCAACAACGTGATAAGGTACTACATCAAATGCAAGGATTATTATTATTTATTAAATGACCAGGACAATAACTATAATAATCCTTGCATTTGACATAGCGCCTTATCACGTCTTCGAGACACCTCAAAGCGCTTCACAGAAAATACTGTAAAGTGAATTGACTGTATATTTGTAGGTGAAACGCGGCAGCCAATTGCGCACAGCAAACAGTCGTGGATTGAAGTGACCAAATTATTATTTTTTTCTTGAGTGATTATTATCAGGCGTGTGGAGTAAGAAAACTTGCCCAAGGTTGCGCCCTGGCGTGAATCAAACCCAAATCTCTCGCTTGTAAGACGAGTGCTCGAACCACTGAGCTACAGGACTTCCAAGATTAATGATTGTAAGACCCAAGCACAGTAGTGCCAAAATCACTGTGTTAGCTCCACAGCTAAGTTAGCATTATATCTGTACTACCGTAATATTCAATTCATTTCTTACACTGTCACAGATCTCTGAAGTCAACAGGATTACGTGTTTGGTTTATTATGGTAGCACTCTCGCCTCTCACTCAGAAGGTTACGAATTCAACCCATCTGGACGTGAACTCATACCGTGGGCTGACACTCCAGTTCGATGATGCGTAATAATAATAATCATCCTTGCATTTGATATAGCACCTTAACATGTCAGAAGCCGGTCTCAAAGCACTTCACAGGATTTATTGTGAAATGGAGTGATCGTGTATTTGTAGGCAAACTTGGTAACGCAATTGCTCACAGCAATGTCCCATAAACAGCCATAGAGTGAGTGACTCATTTTTATATGGGGGATTGTTGGCCAAGGACACGGGGATAGAGAAATTCCCTTCTCCCGGTTACACCACCTGTCATATTGGGAGGATGTCTCAAAGCGCTTCACAGGATTCGATGTAAAAGTGTAGTGACTGATGTTTAACTGCATCCAATATCTTCTTATACAGAACTTTGCATTGTTTTCTATGGTTTGAGCTAAATCATTAAGGGATGGAATCAAAAATGTTGTAACATAATCATGAAAAATTCATACCAGGAGAATCAATTATGAATTTGCCTCGTAGTCAGAAGATACTGTCCTTTGAATCACACAAATCAAGCTCCCATCTGCTTGCTTTTTCAGGTGGACATTAACAATATTCACAAGGACACTGTTCAAATAGAGAAAGGAGTTTCTTTCTCCCAGTGTCCTGCCCAATGATCCCCCAAATAGAATTGGTCATTTTACTTCAAGGCTGTTTGTGGGACACTGCTATATACAAATTGCTTTCCGCATTTGTCTAATTATGCACAATAACTATGCTTCACAGTAAAATCCTTTGATATAATAATAATAATAATAATCCTTGCATTTGATATAGCGCTTTTCACGTCGGGAGGACGTCCCAAAGCGCTTCACAGAATATACTGTAAAGTGAATTGACTGTATATTTTGTGGGCGAACGCGGCAGCCAATTGCGCACAGCAATGTCCCACAAACAGTCGTAGATTGAAAATGACCAATTATTATTGTTTTGGGTTTTTGGAGGGATTATTATTAGGCTCTGTGTGGAGTAAGGACACTTGCCCAAGGTTTCGCCCTCTGCCTGGAATTGAACCCAGGTGTCTTGCTTGCAAAGCGAGTGCTCTAACCACTGAGCGACAGGACTCCATATGTCCACCCGACATTAAAATTTCTCCGAGTGTTGTGGCTGGCAAATTACTATTTTGTGGGACAATACTTTGCTCACAGTACTTTCCTATCAAAACGGTCACTATACCTGACTGTAATCACCTGTAATAATAATAATCCTTGCATATGTTATAGCGCTTTCCACGTCTTCTCGACGTCTCAAAGCGCTTCACAGAATAGACTGTAAAGTGAATTGACTGTATATTTGTGGCTGTAAAGCACTTTGAGACATTTTGACCCAATGAGACGCTGTATGAAATGCAAGGATTATTAATAATCAACCTGGGTTTGATTCCCGGGCAGGGTGAAACCTTAGACAAGTTTCCTTACTCCACACACCTCTCTTTTGCTAGCAGTAAATGGGAATCCAGTTGTTAGTCGATTGGTGGATCGTTTTCCAGGGGGGTAAGAATCCCTCAAAAAAAAATCTGGTCACTCACGCAATCCACGACTGTTTGTGGGACACTGCTGTGCGCAATTGGCTGCCACGTTTCACTCGCAAAATACACATTCAATTCACTTTACAACATATTCTGTGAGACGTCTCAATGATATGGCCTATACCAAATGCAGGGATTATTATTATTTGCATCAAAAAATATTGATCAACCCTACTAATTGCCCTGAACCAGTTCCAAGACAAAGACCTGACCAAACTTTAAACACTTTTATATATACAGAAAAAAAGTTGTATTTACAGTTCCCGCTCTCACACTAGTTTTATTGCTTCTACAGTTCAATAAACCTCTCTTCACCACCACCGCCACTACCAACAACAAAATTACATTTATAGAGCGCCTTTCAAGTCGGGAGGACTTCTCAAAGCGCTGAACAGTCAGGTGTCGGAGGGGTGGTGTAGGGGTGAGGGAAGGCAGAGAGGTGGGAGGGAGACCAAAGACACGGTCGAAGAGAAGGGTCTTGAGACCGGCCGTGAAGGAGGCGAGGGAGGAAGCGAGGCCAAGGGACCGTGGGATGGAGTTCCAGAGTGTGGGGGCAGAGAGACCGAAAGCCCGGCCAACACCCAAAGGCTAATAGAATTTACTGTATCAAATAACACACTGTATATAAATATTTTTTTAAAAACAAGAAACATTTTCAAATGCATATATCAAACGCAAAGGTTATTTATGATAACATCTAAGTCCATTGTATCGATACAAAGTTTGATTGACTATACAGTCAATTCACTTTACGGTATATTCTGCGAAGCGCTTCGAGACGTCTCAACAACGTGATAAGGCGCTGTATCAAAATGCAAGGATTGTTATTGTTAGAGCGAAAGCAAATTAAAAAGTTAATTTATTTAAGAAACAACAACAAAGGAGTTATAACAAGAAGGAAAGAGATTCTCCCTCCTCTCTACACAACAAAACTTGATCCAAGCAAAACAAGTGCCTCCCACACAACCCCCCACCAAAAAAAAAAGAAGATTTTTTTTAAAATGAGTTTAAATACAGCAACGAGTAGAGTCAGAAATAGCAGCAAAATACAAACCAGGAAGTCGGTGGTTCTGAAACCTGAATTAGGGGAAGAGAGCAATAGCAAAAAAAAAAGAACCATTGGAAAAAGCCACAATTTTAGGAGTTCAAATGGGAATAAGACTTGAAATGTTGAATGCAAAGGAGTTCAGATGGTGCAGAGGCTTTGGTGGAGGTTAATGGGACAGTGTACTCACCAGTAAACAGATCCAGAGGGCAACTTCTCTCCTTGATATTGTCCAAGACATGTTCCAGTCCCTCTCTCCCCCCCTTTACCTCTCTAATTCTGACTGACACACTCACTCACTCACTCACTCACTCACCCCCAACTCTCTCTCCCTTCTTTTCTAACTCGTTCTTTCTTTCTTTCTTTCTTTCTTTCTTTCTTTCTTTCTTTCTTTCTTTCTTTCTTTCTTTCTTTCTTTCTTTCTTTCTTTCTTTCTTTCTTTCTTTCTTTCTTTCTTTCTTTCTTTCTTTCTTTCTTTCTTTCTTTCTTTCTTTCTTTCTTTCTTTCTTTCTTTCTTTCTTTCTTTCACTCTCTCTCTCTATCTCTCTGCCTCCCTCCCCTGTTCCTCTCGACTGTTTTCCCCTTTCTTCCTCTTCTCACTCTTTCTCTCTTGTTTTCTCTCTTAACTTTTTTTCTCCCCCCCTCTTTGATTGAGTGGGTTCCACCTTTCTCCCTCTTTAATCTCACACTCTGTCTCTCTCTCTCCCTCTTTAATCTCACACTCTCTCTCTCCCTCTTTAATCTCACTCTCTCTCTCCCTCTTTAATCTCACACTCTCTCTCTCCCTCTTTAATCTCACTCTCTCACTCTCTCTCTCTCTTTAATCTCACACTCTCTCTTTAATCTCACACTCTCTCTTTAATCTCACACTCTCTCTCCCTCTGTTCACTTTCTCCCTCTCCCTCTGTTCACTCTCTCCCTCTCTCTCTCCCTCTGTTCACTCTCTCTCTCTCCCTCTGTTCACTCTCTCTCTCTCTCCCTCTGTTCACTCTCTCTCTCTCCCTCTGCTCTCTCTCCCTCTCCCTCTGTTCACTCTCTCTCTCTCCCTCTGTTCTCTCCTCTCCCTCTTTCTCTCCCTCTGTTCTCTCTCTCTCCCTCTGTTCACTCTCTCTCTCTCTCCCTCTGCTCTCTCTCCCTCTCCCTCTGTTCACTCTCTCTCTCTCCCTCTGTTCTCTCCCTCTCCCTCTGTTCTCTCCCTCTGTTCTCTCTCTCTCCCTCTGTTCACTCTCTCTCTCTCTCCCTCTGTTCTCTCTCTCTCCCTCTGTTCTCTCCCTCTGCTCTCTCTCTCCCTCTGTTCACTCTCTCTCTCTCTCCCTCTGTTCACTCTCTCTCCCTCTGTTCACTCTCTCTCTCTCTCCCTCTGTTCTCTCCCTCTCCCTCTGTTCTCTCCCTCTGTTCTCTCTCTCTCCCTCTGTTCACTCTCTCTCTCTCCCTCTGCTCTCTCTCTCTCTCTCTGTTTTATCTCTCTCGGAGCCCCTCTGAGGCAGACTGTGGGTGTGGAGAGAGTGGAGGTGTGGGTACACCTTATCACTGTGAACACTCCCCACCCTCCCCCTCCCTCCCTCCCTCCCCAGCCCCACCCTCCCTCCCTCCCCAGCCCCACCCTCCCCCCCTCTCCCTCCCCCCTCTCCCCCCCTCCCCAGCCCCACCCTCCTCCCTCCCTCTCTCCCTCCCTCCCCTGGGGCACAGTTCTCAGCCCCGCGGGGGGAGGGCAGCGCAGCCTCACCTGAGAGCCGCTGACGGTGCGGTCCGTCCGGTCTCTGCCCTTCCCCTCAGCCTCAGCCTCTGTGAGTCAGCGGCCAAACCCTGGACTGACTGCACAGGTACACAGAGAGAGAGAGAGAGAGGGCACACTGGGGGCAAATGGGCACAGAGAGGGGGCACAGAGAGGGTAAATGGGCACAGAGAGAGGGGGTACAGAGAGAGGGGGCACACTAAGGGCAAATGGGAACAGAGAGGGGGTACAGAGAGGGCAAATGGGCACAGAGAGGGTACAGAGAGGGCAAATGGGTACAGAGAGGGCAAATGGGCACAGAGAGGGGGCACAGAGAGGGTAAATGGGCACAGAGAGGAGGTACAGAGAGAGGGGGCACACTAAGGGCAAATGAGCACAGAGAGGGGGTACAGAGAGGGCAAATGGGCACAGAGAGGGTACAGAGAGGGCAAATGGGCACAGAGAGGGGGTACAGAGAGAGGGGGCACACTAAGGGCAAATGGGAACAGAGAGGGGGTACAGAGAGGGCAAATGGGCACAGAGAGGGGGTACAGAGAGAGGGGGCACACTAAGGGCAAATGGGAACAGAGAGGGGGTACAGAGAGGGCAAATGGGCACAGAGAGGGGGTACAGAGAGGGCAAATGGGCACGGAAAGGGGGTACAGAGGGTAAATGGGCAGAGAGAGGGGGTACAGAGGGTAAATGGGCAGAGAGAGGGTACAGAGAGAGAGGGCACACAGAGGGCAAATGGGCACACGGGGTGTACAGAGAGAAGGGGTACAGAGAGAGGGAGGGAGGGCACACAGGACAAATGGGCACACAGAGGGGGTACAGAGAGGGTAAATGGGCAGAGGGAGTGGGTACAGAGAGAGGGGGCACACTGAGGGCAAATGGGCACAGAGAGGGGGTACAGAGAGAGGGGGCACACAGAGGGCAAATGGGCAGAGAGGGGGTACAGAGGGGGGCACACAGAGGGCAAATGGGCAGAGTGAGGGGGTATGGAGAGGGTAAATGGGCACAGAGAGGGGGTACAGAGAGAGAGGGGGCACACAGAGGGCAAATGGGCAGAGAGAAGGGGCACACAGAGGGTAAATGGGCAGAGAGAGGGGGTACAGAGAGAGAGATGGGGTACACAGAGAGGGGCAATGGGCAGAGTGAGAGGTTAAGAGAGAGAGGGCACACAGAGGGGTAAGAGGGCGGTCAGAGAGAGGGCAACTGCACCCAGAGAAAGAGGGTAGAGAGTGGGGGTACTACGCCAGAGATAGAGTGGGCAAGGGGGCAGAGAAAACTTTTCCGCTGCTTATCCACCTGGGACCCCCCTACCTGTCAGGGCTTTGGCTTGCAAAGGGCAGAGAGCGAGGGGTAAGAAGCCTGAAAGAGGGGGCAGAGAGAGGGCAAGAGGGAGGGAGGGAGGGAGAGAGAGAGGGCAAGAGAGGGTAAGAGGACAGAGAGAGGGAACACGGAGAGACGAGAGGGGCAGAGGGTGAGGGGCGAGTGCAAGGAGGACTGAGGGGGGGGGGGGCAAGGGGGAGAGGGCGGGGGGCAAGGAGCAGAGAGCGGGCAAGAGGGAAGAAAGAGAGGGCTAAGAGGGTAACAGAAGAGAGGGCAAGGGGAAAAGAAGGGGCAAAGGGAAGCACCTGCATAACTGTGTAGGACAGAATAGGATTTGGTGGTAAACGAGACAGAAAGGTGAGGGTGGTGGGTGGTGATGCATCTGAATATTTTTAAATATTTTAAAAGTTTCGAGCGGCGTTGTGTGATCCGTGTCTGTGCCTCATGTGCGTGCGTGTGAGTGAGTGTGCGCGTGAGTGTGCGCGTGTGAGTGAGCGTGCTCGCGCGTGACAAAATAACCAGAGGATGAGAAAGATTGCTTTCACCGAGCTCACTTTATTGGCAAATCCTTGAACGTTTAAAGAAACGAGGTTCTTTGAAAACAGAAGGTCGGAGAATTAAAACTTTCGAGATCTGTGCAAGCGAAAGAAGCCAAACACATCCACAACCAGGTCAGTGTCAAAATAAAAATGATCAGTCGACCCATCGATCGATCGATTGATTGATTTGTGAGCAAAGAGTATACGCAATACATGTCAAAACATTTGATCACTTAATCCACGACTGTTTGTAGGACACTACTACGCACAATTGTTTCACCCACAAAATATAGTCAATTCACTTTACATTATACTCTGATATATACTCTGATTATATACTTATGCTTTGAGGCATGATAAGGTGCTATATCAAATGCAAGTATTATTATTAAAACACCCATGTGTACATAACAATGCAATAGGACAGCAATGCCCAACCAAAAGATTTACCCAAACCGCAGGATACTGATGTACGTGTTAGAACATTGCAGAGCAAGAATATGAATACAAGGTGTAGGAATATTAATCGGACAAAAATGGCCTGAGTCTGATTAGTATTAAAATTCCTATGCCTTGAAATTGCATTCGCACAATCAGCCTTTTATAATCCGAAACTGACTATCGAGGGGAGAGGCTTTGCAAAATCATGACCCAACACATTCTTGTTAATTGCTTCTCAAGCGAAAAATCCAGGTAACATTTCTCATTTCTTTCTGATGCAGGTTGACTCATGTCTTTATGCAAATCAATTGCAAAGATAATCATGATGATGCACTCCCGTCTTTCAACGGTATCGAATGAGGAAATCTTGCTGACAGTTTCACAAAGTTTGCAGTTTTTTTGTGAAGCTTTAAATTCTGCACTGCATGTAAAATAATTGTAATAGTCCTTGCACGTAACATAGCACCTTATCACATCATCAAGATATCTCACAGTGCTTCACAGAACAGATTGTAAAGTGAATTGACTGAGTATTGCGCACAGCAGCGTCCCACAAACGGTCATACATTGGGTGATGGCATTTGTTTTTAAGGATTATTACTCCCGGAAAGCGATCCATCAATTGACTAACAACCACGTTCCTACTTACTGCTAGACAAACAGAGGCACATGGAGTAAGGAAACTTGCCTTTTCCCCTGCCAAGGAATCGAACCCAGGTCATCTCGCTGGTGAGCTGAGCCCTTTACACTCGCTTTAAATATCAGTACTTTGGCTTAATTCGTGTGAACAATTTAGATTACTTTTTTATACTCCAATCAATGCCACAACTCTCATCCCTCGTCTGAATATCGAGGCGACAGGGTGACATTTACATTTCAAATGTTGGAAACTGCGATAGAATTTTTTTTAAAACACGAAACAATCCTATAGAACAACATCAGCAGTATCAAATTGCACTTTGTACGGAACCTTTCGGGTCAGGAGGACAACCAAAGTTGCTGGACGGTCAGGAGGGGTGGAGAGCAGGGAGGTTCGGGGTAGGAGGTGACTGACGCGGCCGTCGCAGGAGGCTCTTGAGATGGGCCTTGAAGGAGGCAAGGGAGGAGGCGAGGCGACAGGAACCGTGGGGTGGAGTTCCAATGGGTGGGGGCAGAGAGGTTGAACTCAAAAACAAATCACAGGAGGCCAGAGCCAGTCGAGCGGAGGCATTGTGTACCGGGTTGTGGAGTAAGCAGGTCAGAGAGGTAGGGAGGTGCCAGAGCGTGAAGGGA